AGCGCTGGGAGGGAGGAGCAGGAGCAGGGACGCGACATGATTGGGAGGTGGGGAGGAGATGAAGTGGGGGCGGGGGGAGCTTGGCTGCCAGTGGGTGCCGAGCACCCACTAATTTTTGCCCCTGGGTGCTCCAGCCCCGGAGCACCCATGGAGTCGGCACCTATGAAGCCCCAAATTTGTCCCACTTTTCGCCTTCTATCCAGGTCTCAAAACATTTTTTTCTGATCTCTGTTACATTTATGCCATACATACACAAGTTAGATAAAAGCATAAGCTACTCTCGCTGGAAGGTTGTTGTGGAGGATGGTAAGCCTTGAACATGGGTCCACAAGTCCCCAGGCAGTGCTCAGACTATGGCCACTGGAGGTCACCAAATGACTGGAGAAGGGGGGGGGCTAAAAAGCTTTAGTTCACAAAGAGTCTCATCCAAGAAGCTTCTGACTGGGGGAGATGTCCAGCCCCACCAATTGGCTGGGACGCACTAGTTAAGCCAGAAAGAAGTACAGGAAGTTGTCTGAGCGATTCGATGAATTCCTGGCTGGCTACTACTACAGACCCTACCTACTTGTCTGACTCCTGTTTCCTGCCTCCCTTACTGTACCTGCCCTCCTTGTTCCAGACCCCCGTCTGCTCCCAGTTCCTGTTTCCTGCCTGGCTCCAGGTCCCTACTTTACGCCCTACCCCTGACACTGACTCTGGGCTTGACTCGACTCTGACTTCGGTTCTGACCTTTGGCTTGGCACCTGACGCTGACCCCAGCTCTGGTTCCAGACTCCTGACTCTAACCCTTAGACCTGACTACCCACAGCCCAGTCCCTACAGTTGCAACATTACACCATTTTATTTCTTATAATTCAGAATAATACACAAGAACCCCAAAACACACACAGAGAGAAAGAAGGTAGCTCTTTAAAACAGAGAGGCACAACTCATCTCACCTTACTCTTCTTTCTAGGCTGGTTGTCTTCAAATTGAGTCTGCTTGGCCCAGATCATACACTTCCTTACAGAGCTCTTTCATCTGCAAGCAGGACCAGGAAACCTCCCTGAGCATTTAAAGTGACAGATCATAATTTTAATGCAGTTGTCAATACACCACAATCTCTAATCCAGGATCAGTGCTTGGAAAAATGTAGTGATTCCAATAGCATTTGTACTTGTCTCCCAAAGTGGTTCTAACACTGGGACATCGCATTAAGCACTATAACTAGCAAACTAATAGTTCAGTCATTGTGAACAACAATTAAAAAAAAAAAAGCAATGTAGGTTGTTGTAGTATAACAATATAGTTAACGGAATGTATGCTACACCAGGTTCTATTCACAGCCCCAACTACATATTTGTGATGCATAAATGAGATGCTGCTCAATAGATTGTGTAAACTAGCATATGATCATCCATCTTGGATCAATAGTGAAAGAGCAATATTGACATTAAATTACCATTAAGTTTCTCACAAGGTTTTGACACCATGCAGTTTTGCTTGCTTGTGTGAATTTTGTAATACTTGCTTACATAAATCAAAGGATTTATTGGAACACAATACCTTATTACATATGGTGATTCCAGTCAGATAGACTACATCAGAAAGAACCAACTTCATTGGTAATGGCCAAGATTTTAAAAAGCGACTAGTGATTTTAAGAAACTCAGTTTTTGGGTGCCCAGCTTGAGATGCCTTAAAGGGGCCTGATTTTTTTCAGAATTTGTTGAGTGCCATGCTCTGAAAATCAGGCCTCTTTCTGGAGTCTCTCAGATGATATACCCCAAATTATTAGTCACTTTTGAAAATCTTGTCTAACATGCACAACTCCCAGTAAAAAGAACTACATCATAGTTAACCATCAGCATTTCTTCAGAATATAATACAGCCCTCAGCAGTTTAACAGAATTTGTAAAACTATCTGTAATTATGCCATCTGGTAATGCCCAGTAATATTACACAGTCACGATGCATGGGGCAGTTCACATCTTTCAGGGTTTGTCTACACTTACCGGAGGATTAACAAGTGGCGATCGATGCATCAGCAGTCAATTTAGCGGATCTAGTGAAGACCCACTAAATCAACCTCAGATTGCTCTCCCGTCGACTCCTGTATTCCACCATGTTGAGAAGATAGGGGGAGTCAATGGGACAGCGTCTCCTGTCGACATCGCATAGCATGGACCCTGCGGTAAGTAGATCTAAGCTACGTCGATTTGAGTTACGTTAAAGTAACTCAAATTGTGTAGCTTAAATCGAATTTCCCCTGTAGTGTAGACAAGGCCTCAGAGATTGTTTGGTGCTCTTTGTAGCATTGAAGACTCATGTAGACATTGGTTCACATTTTGAAGGATCTCTTCTCAACTATAAAGTCTAGATAATTTTGTCTTATTTCAAAGTGATGAGCACCCACAGCTTCCATAAACGTCAATGGGAGGCACAGGTGCTTTGAAAATCAAGCCACTAATTTATTTAAAATGAAAGCTTACTTTCTGAAGTTGGATAATGGTTTGAACAATTGACTATGAGATGATAGGTTGTAGAAAATGTTCCAGATTGTCAACCCAGTGAGACCTTACCCAATCCAAATTTATGTAACCGTATTTGTGAACTATGTGGTACTTTCTATAGAATGGCTTGAGTATGTGCACTTTTGCCCTCTACTGAATGGAATGGACCAGTAACTTGCTAGCTAAGTGAATTACTTCCCTTTACTGGAGTGAAGCCTGGTCTACACTTAATTTAAATTTAATTTAAATTTAGGTTGACTAGCCCTGGTACTTGGGTGGGAAAAAATCCACACCTCTGAGTGCTGCAGCTATGCCAGCCTAATCCCCAGATGTAGACACAGCTAGCTCAATGGAAGAATGCTTCTGTCAACATCACTCGGGGAAGTGGAGTTACTATAGCAATGGGAAAACTGCTGCTGCTGTAGTGTATGTCTACAGTATGGCGCTACAGCAGCATAGTTACAGCATCATAGCTGTGCCGCTGTAGCTCTTATAGTGTAGACCTGAGTAATTGATTCATTCGGCAGCTGGGCTTACAGCTTGGTGCTGGCTGGTGCCTGGCTGGACAGACTAAGAGTAACCTTGTGTAAACCCAAGTCTGGCCCCCAGGCTGCAGGGCCAGGCAAGAATGGCTGCTCCCCTCATGCAGGCCAAGGGTTACCACCTAGCTGGTATTTGACCAGCCTTGCCAGTTTTTTAGTGGATTTGCCAGTTACCAGAAAAACAATTTAATCTGCCAGTTTATGTGGATCTAAAGATTTGTATTATTATCACAATACACTGAGATATCTAATATTAAAAGTTTCTGTGTCCAGCTAAAGATGTTGCAGTGTTCCCACTTCTACAGTTTAAGCAATAATCGATCAAAACTGTTGAAAATACAGCAGCTGTCTGCCCACCAACACACAAGCACACCACTCATGTGTGTGAAAGGGGGTTTTAGTCACACGAGAAGGTAAGAGTGAGGAGATGTGCAAGGCATATTAAATAATGGAAGATCAGGGTGATGGTGCGTGTGATTCTACTGCACCTCTGAAAAAAAAGCTTGCATCAGAAACTGCACATTCAGAGAACTGGCTAAATGAAACAGACTACAAAGGCTGGCTGGCAAAGTGTGCTGCTAAAACAAATGCCTATTTGTTATCAATGATATTATCAATCTTATCTATATGTGTTATCTCTCTGCATATTATAAGTGGCTGTTGAAGGGAGATGGATTGCAGAGTGGCCTTGTGGCTGGGGTTGTGGCAGCCTTGCCTTGTGGTGGTGGTGGAGTACCATTTTTGTACATTTCAAAGGTGGTAACCCTACCCAGGTCTGTGGGGCTGAGTGCAGTATTGTCATCTCTCATGATTTTGTCATGAGTCTCATGATAATTACTGTTCTCCTTAAAACCCCAGCTTCTGGAGTCAAGTGGATATGTGATGATTCCAGCCTTCATTCTTAAAGAAAATGTAAGTTTCTAGCCCTTGTGGCTGTGAAGAAAGCTTCAAAAGTGACCACAATGCATTCTAAAGGCTCAAAAAGTAGAAGGCAAATAAAATCTATTATTTCTTACATAATCTTGTGATTTTAAAGCCAAGCTCAGGATTTTTGGCAAGCCCAACTCACGATCTGTGAACATTTGGGGTTGGCAATACCAATGATGAAAGGCAGCAGGGAGGGGAAGGGGCAGAGGGAGGGCAGCACTCGGGGTGGAGGGGGTTAGAGACAGGGGTAGGGTGACCATATTTACCAAAGTAAAATCGGGACACCGTGTGCGGCTGGCCTGAGCTGCCTGCCATCACTGCTTGCCTGAGCCCCCGACCCGGGGCTGTCCCAAGACACCTGGTGTTGCTACTCACCTGAACCCTGCACTACCCAAGACTGGGGTTGACCACCCAATCTCCACCCTGCTCTGGGCTGACTGCCCGAGCCCCACGCCACCTGGAACTGTTCACACGAGCCCCACGCCACTCCGGGCTGACTGCCCAAGCCTTGCGCTGCCCAGGACTGCGGATGGGACTGACCGACTGCCCGAGCCCCAGGCGGCCTGAGCCCCGCACCGCCCAGGGCTGACAGCCCGAGCCCCGCCGCCGCCCCACACACCCCTCCGTCCCCCCCCCCGTAAGGGGGCGCAACCCATTAGTCTGGCAAAACTGGACGTGCCATTTGCTCTTCACTGGTCAGAGCAACTTGCAACTGGCAAGAGGAGACAGGACAAGGACCCAGTTTGGCCAAAAAAGTCAGGACATCCGGGACAGGGCTTAAAAAAGGGGACTGTCCTGACCAAACCGGACATATACGGCCCCCCTAGCCAGGCGGACTGGGGTGAGGGGGGTAGAAGCACGGAGATGAGGCAGAGGCGGCGAGGAGCACATAGGTGAGGCAGGCGGCGTGGGCGGCTCCCCCAGGCGGCAGCGCTCAGGCGTTCGGCAAGGGCAGCCCGGCGGGGCCCTAGCGGCTGGCGGCGGGGTCCTCGCGCGGCTGGCTGTGGGGGCCGAGCGGGCCGGGCCGGGCGGAGCGGCGGCGGCCCGGCGCGAAGATGGCGGACGTGCTGAGCGTGCTGCGGCAGTACAACACGCAGAAGAAGGAGATCGTGGTGAAGGGGGACGAGGTGATCTTCGGCGAGTTCTCCTGGCCCAAGAACGTCAAGACCAACTATGTCATCTGGGGGTGAGTCGCGCGGCCGCTGCAGGTCCCCCCCCGCATGCGGGCAGGGGGTGGAAGCTGCCCCGAAGTTGTTACCGCTGAGCGGGGAGGCGAGGCGGGGCGGGGGAACTGGTGCGTGCGTGGGGGGGAGCCCGCGAGCCCGGCCCCTCTCCCCCGGCTCCTCGGGGGTCCTGTCTCCACTGCGTGCTCTGCCATGTGCTGGGAGCCCGGTTCCCCTCCCCGGGACCGGCCGGTGTTTGCTTGTTTGTTTGTTGCTCCTCGGGAGGCTCCCGGGTGGCCGTGGTTGGTCGTGGCCCCTTGTTTCCTGGTGCAGTGTCCAGGGGGGAGCGAGTCCCGGCTGGCAGAGCGCGGGTGGGGGGCCAGCGGGAACCGAGTCGGTGGGGGTGGGCTGTACGCGGTGTGTGTCCCTGTGCCCCGGGGGTGTCGCTCCTCTGTCACCCTGGGAGCCTTGATCTCAAGTCAAACAACGAAGTCTCTTTTCTTCCTTTTGGGAGGAGCCTGGTTTCTCCCAGCTCTGAGATTCAGCCAGTTGGAGAGAGCAGATCCAGCACCTCAAAGGAAAGACGGTGATTTCTTTCCTGCCGCGGGAGCTGGCAAGAGGGTTATGTCCATTTCAGGTGTTGAGGTTTTAGATTTCTGCTCTAAAGAGGGCACGCTATAGATGAGATTGGTGGCTGGCCTGAGAGTTGTTTTTTTTCTGACTTAGTACCTCATACTGAAAGGAAGTGACAAGTATCCTAGAAGTTGTTTTACTACTAATCTTCTAGCTAAGTTATGCGTATTGTTTGCTCACTTTGTTAATTGCCCTTTCATGAGGATGTGTTTCTACTCTCCTTTTCTCCTTGTGTAAGGAGTATAGTTGGGTCCAAATAGAAACTCTTGATCTGACCACCTGTGAACTTTGTAGAAGCTTCTATGGGGCTATACAGGCCTATCCTTAATGGGGCCCCCCATCTTTGCTGTAATACTAATATAGTTTGTCTCCCAACTTTTCTGAGAGACAGCACATTGTAAACAAGTACATTCACAATGCAAATACCTCCCAAGATAGAAAGAGGGTGTGTTTATTTTTTAAAGTGAACTTTCAAAATGTTATTCTTTATACGATATAAATTTTGTAGCCCAACAATTGTATTGTCTAAAAGCCAAGGGGTTGCTTTTTCCTACTTTTTTCTATACTCCTTGAAAATGAGTGCCTGGTTTTTAGTTAGACTTTATTAAGTGTCATTAAATTGTAGTAAGACATTCAATTTCTCCCAAAAATAATGCTGCAGAGAAAGCTGGAGATCAAAGAAAAAAATAATTTTCCCAAAGAAGCTCCATAGGTAGGGAAAGGGGGGGCAATAACACACTCAAGGATCTTTCAGCTGGTCATCTGAAGTCTGGGGCATTATTAAAGAACTTCTGAATTAGGGTAAGAACATTAGATTTGTTAACTGGATCAGACCCGTGGTCCAGTATTCTATTTATAGTGGTGGCCCTAACTTTCAGAAGAAGTCAAAAATAACCACCACAATCATAGAACTGGTTGGGACCTTGAGAGGTCATCTAGTCTAGTTCCCTGCACTCATGAGTAGACCATTCCTCTCCAGTAATGGAGATTCCACAACCTTCCTAGGCCATTTATTCTAGTGCTTAACCACCCTGACAGGAAGTTTTTGCTAATGTCCAACCTAAACCTCCCTTGCTGCAATTTAAGCCCATTGCTTCTTGTCCTATCCTCAGAGGTTAAGAAGATTTTTTCCCTCCTCCTTGTAACAACCTTTTACGTACTTGAAAACTGTTATGTCCCCTCTCAGTCTTCTCTTTTCCAGACTAAACAAAACCAGTTTTTTCAATCTTCCCTCATAGGTCATGTTTTCTAGACCTTTAATCATTTTTGTTGCTCTTCTCTGGACTCTCTCTAATTTGTCCACATCCTTCCTGAAATGTGGCATCCAGAACTGGACACAATACTCCAGTTGAGGCCTAATCATCACTGAGTAGAGCGGAAGAATTACTTCTCATGTCTTGCTTACAACACTCCTGCTAATACATCCCAGAATGATGTTTGCTTTTTTTTGCCACAACGTTACACTGTTGACTCATATTTGAGCTTATGGTCCACAATGACCCCCCAGATCCCTTCCCGCAGTACTCCTTCCTAGGCAGTCATTTCCCATTTTGTGTGAGTGCAACTGATTGTTCCTTCCTAAGTGGAGTACTTCGCATTTGTCCTTAAGTAAATAGGATGAAATTCAATCAGACCATTTCTCCAGTTTGTCCAGATCATTTTGAATTTTAATCCTAGCCTCCAAAGCACAATGCAGCTAGCCAGTTGTTCTTAGAGTTAGGGATTTGTTTCTGACTCTTTCAACTAGTCAGTTTATAATCTGAAGTATGTGACTTTATTACCCTTCTTTCAGGGTGTTCAAAAATCTGCTTGAGTTGTATATGCACTTTCCTCCCCTTCTCGCCTCACGTAAATTCTGCCAAAATGGATAATTCCTAGTTAAGGGGAGGGGAGTAATTGCTTTAGATATCTTTCCAAATATTAACTGTTTTTATTGCTGTTTTCTTGAGCAAGCAGGGAGGCAACTTTGGGGTGTCTCCTGCTCAAAGTTTTCTGGGATAGCAACCAGTAAAATTTAACAAGACTCTGGTCAGTTTCATTACTGTTATTCAGGACTGTGGGGGGAGCAGAGAAACTAACATCATAGAAATGTAGGGCTGGAAGGGACCCTGAGAGGTCATCTTGTCCTGTTCCCTGCTCTAAGGCAGGGCCAAGTAAACCTAGACCATCCCTGACAGGTGTTTGTCCAATCTGTTTGTAGAAGCCTTCAGTGAATCCCATTGCAACAAAGCCATCCACTATGACCTGCACGTTTCCCAGAGTCACTACCCTTGATATCAGCAGGTCTTTGATTGCGTTGGCTACTTGGATCACTACTTGGAGCAGCCCCCACAGTAGATTTGCCCACTCCAAATTGATTCCCGACTGACCGGTAGCTGTCTGGCATTGCAAGCTTCCACAGGGCCACTCGCTTCTCAACTGTGAGGGCTGCTCTCATCCTGGTATTCTGGCGCTTCAGGGCAGGGGAAAGCAAGTCACAAAGTTCCATGAAAGTGCTCTTGCGCATGCGAAAGTTTCGCAGCCACTGGGAATCGTCCCACACCTGCAACACGATGCGGTCCCACCAGTCTGTGCTTGTTTTCCGGGCCCAGAATCGGCGTTCCATGCCATGAACCTGCCCCAGTAACACCATGATTTGCACATTGCTGGGGCCTGTACTTTGTGAGAGGTCTATGTCCATGTCAATTTCTTCATCACTCTCGTCGCCGCACTGCAATCGTCTCCTTGCCTGGTTTTGCTTTGGCATGTTCTGGCTCTGCATATACTCCAGGACACTGCGCGTGGTGTTCATAGTGCTCATAATTGCCGTGGTGATCTGAGCGGGCTCCATGATCCCAGTGCTATGGCGTCTGGGCTGAAAAAAGGCGCGAAACTATTGTCCGAGGGAGAGATGGAGGGGCGAGTGACGACATGGCTTACAGGGAATTAAAATCAGCAAAGGTGGCTGTGCATCAGGGAGAAACACAAACAACTGTCACACAGAATGGCACCCCCAAAGATTGAACTCAAAACCCTGGGTTTAGCAGTCCGTTGATTTCACGGAGGGAGGGGGAAGCAAATGAATACAGAACAAATCTGGTCCATCTATTTTTTACATCTTAAGCTGGCAGCAGACGGTGCAGCATGACTGATAGCCATCGGCATCTTCTGGGTGCTTGGCAGAAAATGCTGTACTACGACTGCTAGCCATCATCGTCAAGACGGTTCAATAGGCCAGGAGACAAAACATGTCTGCCCAGGTGCCTCTGATTGAACTCACAGAGGAATCCACTGCCAAAAGGCAAGGAGCTGCTGCTGTGTAGCAATGCAGCCCCACGTCTGCCAGCACCCAGCTAGCCGATGACGGCTACCAGTCATACTGCACCGTCTACTGCCAAAAGGCAATTAACTGCTGCTGTGTAGCAATGCAGTACCATGTCTGCCGGCACCCAGATGACATATGGTGACGCTGAGCTGAGCGGGCTCCATGCTTTCCACGGTATGTTGTCTGCACAGGTAACCCAGGTAAAAAGGCGCGAATCGATTGTCTGCCGTTGCTCTGACGGAGGGGGAGGGGCCTGATGACATGTACCCAGAACCCCCCGCGACACTGTTTTTGCATCATCAGGTATTGGGATCTCAACCCAGAATTCCAATGGGCGGCGGAGACTGCAGGAACTGTGGGATAGCTACCCACAGTGCAACGCTCCGGAAGTCGACGCTAGCCTCGGTACTGTGGACGCGGTCCTCCGAGTTAATGCACTTAGAGCATTTTATGTGGGGACACACACAATCGACTGTATAAAACCGATTTCTATAAAACCGGCTTCTATAAATTCGACCTAATTTTGTAGTGTAGACGTACCCTTAGTGTCCTTGCTCTGTATTAACTTTCCCATCACCCATAATGGGAGTAGGAATTTTTTCATGGGGGTTAACCAATGAAGTACCAGTAGCGCACTGTTGCGAGTTGGTGATGTTTATTAGATCATTGAAATATCCTAATCAGCAAGTCAGAATGTGATCTTGTAACACCATATCTTCAGCCAGTGTAGTAATAGAGATCTAGCAGTTTTTTCTGCCTTTTTATTGATCAGTTACAAACTCAGACTAAAATGCCTATTATGCCTGATCACATAGAGATAAGCAGTAGTTCAAAGAAACGAGACAATCTAAAATGATTTTTTTTTTAAAAGTGCTAATACTACTGCACAAACCAGGTATTTGTTGTGGATGACATCACTTCTGGGGGATGTTGAATGGAGGAAGAGCTTTCATTACTACCAGGGCTCAAGAAATTTTCTAGACATCTACTAGCCAATGGTAAAAAAAAAAAAATGAAAATAAGTGGGGGGGCCCCCATCAGTAAGTGCTGGGGCAGTGACTTGGGCCTGCCCCCTCCCTCTCACTGTCATCAGCTTCTGGGGATGGCAGATTGCTGGGATTTCTACCAGGGTGCCGATCCTAAAACCTGGCTTTGTGGGCACTAGCTTTAAAACCAGCTCTTGGCTAGTATGTGTCTAATCAATTTGAAGCTGTACACCTCTCTCTTTCTTTTCCCCCACCAATATGATTCTTGATAGCTTGGCTGCTGGTCTGTGGTTCCTGATAGTATCATTGAAACTGACTAGACTGGTCAGTTTCAATCTACTGTTGGTTAGTAAAACAACAGTCATAACACTTGTAGAGGCACAGGTGTCTGGAACGTGGGGACCACATTACTACATTGATTTATACTTGGTTCGTATTTGGTAGGTGCTCTTTAAAGCATAAAAGTTCAATAAGCTAAAAGTCTGCAGGTTATGTCTTATGCCCCCATCTTCTCTTGGTAAGCTTGCTGCTTCTGGGGTGGAGTTTTCAAGCCCTAGGTGCTACCTTAATGGTTGATAGTTGGTCACAAGGCACAGAAAACGCTATTTAGGGTATGCTGGAAAAGTCATTTGCTTGTGCAAAGAGACGTTACTTTGAAGATCAGGCTGAACTCCTAATGTGCTTTTAGCAGCCGTGTTGCTGAAAAATAACAGTCTGACGCCAGCAATCTGGGAGTCCAGTATAAATTTGTAAATCTATTTCCATCTTACTGGTTTATCTTCTGAATAGCTTGTTATCATGTTCCTTATGAGGATCCCTTACATTTTGCTTGTATCCAGACTCTCTTGTGTCTCAGATATTTAGGATACACTTGGTTTGTGAAGTCTCTGAGCTCTTCACTAGCATAGATTTTACAATGAAGATTTTACATACCTATCTCCAGAGCAAGTCATCTGGAGAACACTTTAAATTATTTCCCAATGGATGTTGAAAATCTCCTCAGCCCCTCTCCCCCATCCCCAAGGGTCTGAGTAAGTTATTGCAGCTCTTTTGAAAATTAGGAGAATAAACATGAAGTAGTGGTTTGTCTTCCAAAACTTTTAAAAAGAAAAACAAATGTTAATCTTATAGTTACAATTCTTGACAACTATATACTTTTAGACTTTTATTAGTTGGCCTCTTTTCTTACACCTAATTACTCCAGCCACTTCTGGAGTTTTGAATCCATTCCATGTAGAGGTTGTAAGTATGTGGGTAATGATTGATAAAATATCTGTTGTACTCATGCTGACAAATTTGATCAGTGGCTTTTCATTTTTTTTTTTAATAGCTTGATATACCAAACAAGATTAATGAGGAGTATATGTGTGAGGAAATACGGTTGTAAATAAAATCTGTTTCTTGATGTTACAGGACAGGGAAAGAAGGCCAGCCCAGGGAATACTACACTTTGGACTCTATCTTGTTCCTGCTGAATAATGTGCACCTTTCACATCCTGTTTATGTCCGGCGTGCTGCAGTAAGTAGAGCACATGGAACTTTGTTCCTTAATAATGTTGGAGGGTGCATGCTTGACAGCTAATAATTTTTGTGATCATGTTAGTATTTTCAGGAAATTAGAACAGTTACTGTGACATTAACTAACATACTTACAAATACTCAGCTGTTTCTTGATAGTTACTTGGCTAACAACATGGTATGGCATAGTTATAATCATGAACAACAGTAAAAACATAACTTTAATAAGCGCAGCTTTCAGTGACTGGCATTATTGTTTTTGCTCCTCACCTAACTGGAATTGTTACTTGATTGGTACAGCCGAGCTGTAAAATAATAATAGTAATAATCTCCTCTTCTGAAAAATCAAAACCGTCTGCATTTTTATATTGAAACATCTCCACCATTTTCTGACAAAATGTCCACTCCAGTCTTGTGCAGAACAGTTTCACTCCTCTTAGTTCTTCCCTTGATGCTCTGTATACTTTTTCAACAGTGGTAAGTTGTTTATAGCCTGTTCACACATGCTCTCTGAAGAAGTTTTTTATTTATTTATCATAAAAAGCACTTGCTGACTGAGGTTGGGGTAACATGAGGGAAAACAATACAGGACTAGTAAAGAGAGCATAGAATATGTTTCAGCATAATCACTATATTGCTGAAAAAGGCTGTCATATTTTAATACTTCAATATTGACAGTACAAGTAAATCACTTGTGGCCTGTACCTTCTTTCTTGAATACTTCATAAGCATTAAGATTGATCCAAGTTAGTACAATATTTTGTATTCTGTTAGCATCTGTTAGTCTGAAATACTGAAATTGACTAAAATCTTTGACCTGAAGAATATTTCTGTGAAGCTCAAAAGCTTGTCTTTCACCAACACCTCACCCACCTTGTGTGTCTAAAATCGTTGACACCTGCTCTTAATTTTCTTATTGAATGAGTAGAATGAAATTGATTCACTGTTCACAGTAATTGTAATACTTGACACACTGAGTACCGGACTTAATGTGGACTCTGACATTGTTTTAAAGAAGAGAATTTAAGAGAAAAGATTACAAAATCATGTGGAAAAGTATGCATAATACTAAAGGATAGCATGTTAATCAGAAGCAGTGCTGGATATGGCAACTGAGCACACACATCCTTCTCCTATTCTGAACTGAGGTGGGAAGAGGGAGTTAAATGTAAAATAATCTATTACTACTTATTTGTAAGCTTGAAAACAGGAAGTTATTTTTTTTGCCATTCTTAGTCTTGCAGCTAGGAATTATTTGATATATTTGAACATATTTTAAAAACAAATATTCTTCTGTTCTTAAGACAGTGGCAAAACTAAGTAGAAAGACATGACAAGGTGTGTTTTATTGGTTCATTAATCTGTGTCTCAGTTCAAGCATAGCATCTCTGCTATGTGTGTTTAGTGATAGCTTTTAATACCAGGGTTTAAACTATCAAAACAAGGGCTTTTGGTTACATATGGTCTTATCTTTTCAGAAAATTTCTGTTTAATACATCTAAAGAACCAGATTAGCACTAATGTTTGTACATTAAAAGCCATCTTCTTTCTTTTGCTCCTTTGAAGATCAGTCTTTTACTTAGAGCATCTTTAAGGTTTCATTTTTAACAGCTTAACTGTAACTTGCAGTTGATTTTGTGTGAGAAATATAAATGCTGTTTCTTAACTTGAAATGAAAATGGGAAAGGCTGACCCTGCAAAAATGTTGGATCAGATGTGTGTTCTTGAGTTGGTGTCAGGGTTCCCTCCCTACTCTGAACTCTGGGGTTCAGATGTGGGGAACTGCATGAAAGACCTCCTAAGCTTATTCCACCAGTTTAGGTTAAAAACTTCCCCAAGGCACAAATTCCTTTTCTTGTACTTGGACGGTATTGCTGCCACCACCAAGTGATTTAAACAAAAATTCAGGGAGGGGCCACTTGGAGCCCTATCCCCCTTTCCTGGGGAGGCTTGAGAATAATATACCAACCAATTGCCTTTAATGTAAGTACAAACCAGACCCTTTATCTTTAGGACACTAAAATCAATCAGGTTCTTAAAAGAAGAACTTTATTATAAAGAAAAAAAGTAAAAGAATCACACCTGCAGAATCAGGATGGAAGTTACCCTGTAACTTTACAGGGTAATAAAAAGATTTAAAACACAGAGAACTCCCCTCTGGACTCTGCTTCACAGTTACAAAACAGGAATAAAACTCCCTCTTAGCATAGGGAAAATTCACAAGCTAAAACAAAAGATAACCTAACACATTCCTTGCCTCACTTACAATTTCTGTAATTCTTAGATAGATTATTCCAGGTATATTTTCAGGAGATGTTGTCCCTGCTTGGCTTCTCTCGTGGGAGAGGGAACAAACAAAGAGAGCCCAAACAAAACCTTCCCTCCGCCCCCCCCCGATTTGAAAGTATCTTCTTTCCTTATTGGTCCTTTTGGTCAGGTGCCAATCAGGTTATTTGAGCTTCTTAACAGGTAAAGATTCAGTACAGCTGCTCAGGAGGGATTTTATGCTACCCTTATCTGTATGTTTATGACAAGTGGCTATAACTTTAATGTTTTTTTCAGATAGCCTATGTTTGTGACAAACCAACTAAACTGAAAGAGATACTGTAAAGATTTTTAGGCTAAACATTTGCTTACCTGCAGAGTGTTTCCATCTAGTAGACTTTACTTGAAGGTAATTTAGTTTATTCTACACTCTGCTTAGGTACATAATCATAAGACTACCTCGATATACTGCATGCAAAAGGACTACACCCAAATCCAAAAATAGTAGCTATTTACTGTGATGTAAATTGGAACAAAATGCTCAGATGGCTAAAATAATGTTAGTCAGAAATTCTAACCGATTTAGAATGAAATCTGTCTACCAGAATTTTACTTGAGGTGGCATAGATGATCCCAGAAATGAGCCAAGATGTTAAATGATATGCCCAATGTTGCCATTGATTTATTGGAAGTAATTAAGTTGAGAATAGCATGTGCACCTTGAATTTTGAATGCAGCTTAAATGAATTATGCATCCACCAATGTTGAGCAGCTACCTAATATTTATTTTGTGATGTACCTAGAACATTCCTGGATGCTTGAAAAGTAATTGCAATCTGTTGACTGCTGACCTGGACAGTACATTGGTGTTACACGTATCATTATGCATTTAAGTGGAGCCAGCTGTATTTTTTTAATATGTTGAATAGATAAAGCTTAATAGCCCTTTCTCTTCTTCCTACTTTAGCTTATGGTTTACTGTGTAACCATGCAGGAACCATGGCAAGTGCTAAGAGAAAAGCCTTCCTCACTTGGTTCATTTTATGAAATAATTCATTTCCTGATGAAGCATTGCTTTATGAGCAAATGCTTAATTTTAAACTCTCATACTCAACAGATTTACTGTAAAAGAAAACTTTGAAAAATAGGATCATTCTTGTGAACAATTTAAAAGGAAAAAACATGAAACGTAGTGGTTCTGTTTTATCATGTGTTGCCAACAACAGTTTTTCACAAAAACAGCTTGCATGTGGTTGTATGGTTAGTAAGCACTGTGGGTAAAGTTGTTAGAAAACCTAGTAGATGAGGATTCTCCAGCTCTCCATTTCTAACAGATCTTATAATTTATTTACAATATAATTTGTGTATCAAACAGCAACTTCTAAATAAAGGAAATGTCTTCCCCACAAACTTAATACATGTCATATTATTTGGGTTTTGTTCTGAGGCATCCTGTTTTTGGATGTGGTCTATGTAAAATAAAATCTTCAATTCTTTTCAGACTGAAAACATTCCTGTGGTAAGAAGACCTGACAGAAAAGATCTACTTGCGTACCTAAATGGGGAAACATGTGAGTGAAGTTCTTCCTTTTTAGCACTGCTAAACTGCATTTTATTGCTTCACTTTTGCAGTGGGGAGGGAGAGATTAAACAAGAGTGGACATATGAACCTGTATATATGTTGGAGTATATGAGGCCTGTTCAAATGGGCTTACAGGTGTTCTGCCACCTCTTTGTTCTAAATTTCACTTGTCTGTCTCTGTGTGTCATTAGTAGCTATATGATAAAACAAACTGTGACAGCTGAGCCAACAGCTTCTTCAGATGTTAATGCTGCTGTGTGGTAGGGATGTGCATATACTTTTTTCTAGAGTGTGACAAAGACCTATTCAGTAATACCACACACGTACTATACCAGAATTGAGAGTATGAGTCTTACAGTTTGCTAAACTAATATATTACATGCTAACACTTATTCATTAGCAGCATAGCAATTTGTATGGTCTTCCAGCATTAAAATCTAGGTTACCAGTAGTCAGAGAAGAGAGGTGCTTGAAGATGTTAGCCTGTCTGTAGATGAATACTAATGCATGTTGTGTTTTAAATATTTTCTCTGCAGTTTTTCTTGTAGTACTGTATTTTTTAGTAAATTGGAATTTGAGGCTACTCACTTTTTGTGATATGTATGATAAGCATGCTTTTATTTCAAATGGGGGCCATTAGTTTAATTTCCTCTTACAAATGTAAGTGAATTTACAGAGATACTTGATTCCAGATTACAAAATATTTGTTACCTTTGCAGTGCTGTTTGCTTCCTGTGCTCACATCTTTGAATACTTACATACAATTTTGTGTTTGAACCTTAGCAACGTCATCAAGTATAGACAGAAGTGCACCACTTGAAATTGGTCTTCAGCGATCCACTCAAGGTATGATTTAACTGCTAAGCAGAGTTGGTATGAATTTTATGAAAGCCCACCACAATTCTGCATTTTTAATTACCTTTTTTTCCCCTTTAGTTAAAAGAGCAGCAGATGAAATATTAGCAGAAGCAAAGAAACCAAGAATAGAGGTAATGCAAATGACTAATGTCATCCATCTGAGTTTCTTCTGGGACTAACTAGATTTTTTTTATCTGATATTGTAATTTAGATAAACTTCCTTTCCTGTAGGTTCACATACTTCTCCCATTAATGTGAATGGGAGTTGTTTATGTGAATTAAATGGAGACTGTGCACCAATACTTAGTAGGAATTTCAGCCTCTCCTTTGAACTTTGATGTTTGACTTTACTGGCTTTAAATTCTAACACACTTAAGTGGTCTGTAGTATAAGAGGGGAAATCTGCAACTTTATAGATCATGGATGTATATTTTGTATCACATGGCTGGAAGTTAGCCTAGTTGCTTGAATAAGGGCTGAAGGATTGGGACCTAAATCCTATTTACTGGCATTAAAAAATACGTAGGCACATTTCATCCTCTTAACATGTAGCTACTCTTACTTCCCCATTCAAGACCAAAGCATTTGACCTTTAATTTACATCTTCCCATCATTATTCTAGGTGTGTTTGTTAAAGGATCCTTATCATACTTGGTTTACCTGTTCTGATACTACAGTGCTCTTGGTAACATGTGAAACTACAGTCCACCATTGTTACCCTTAGTCTGACCTGACATCCTGGCAGTTCATTTAATGGTGTACTTACACAAGTGCATCTTCAAAGCAATATATTACATTTATTTATTCAATTAGGAAGTGGTTAGCATTACTTACAGTCAAGACCATGAGTCTGTGACAAAATCTGATTTAATGTTTTTTCTCAGTTACCTTTTTGTGTCATCCTTGTCAGTTGGTTGCTAAGATTCCTCTATGAAATTGGCTGTACATATGTCCTGTGTATTATAGGCTTCTTTTTTTAGGTGGTCTGAAACTACCAGTTAAATATTACTAAATGTTCCTACTATTCTATAACAAATTAACTTTTATTATTTTCTATAGCAAACAATTAAAATATTGTCCTGTAACTTGTCCTATTTTAAACTAAAATCATGATTTATTTTTACCATTTTGCTGTGGAAAAATAACTTGTTTTAGAGTACAGTCATCCTCAAAAGATTTAGGAGGGGTGGTGCCATTGCTGATAAAGTGGATTAGATGTGCTCACAGTTAGTGAAGCTACTGCAAATTATTCCACCTCTTCACTCTTTCACTAGCCTGGTGCTTAGTAGATGAGTGATTCATATCATAATTGAGTATATGACTTACTAAGAGTCTCTCTACCAATTTTTGCTTCATTTTCAGATGTATGTTGAAAAGCATACAACATAGCTTCACTTTAAGGGCTTGTCTGTGCTAATGCCACAGTTTGCCCATTTTTTATGTTTACATCACAGGCATGTTGTGATATATTTAAAACAAGATTGGACAGACCAAGACCTTAGCAGCACAGTATAGGCACTCAGTTGTGTCTGGACACAGTTCCATCTTGTGTAGACTAAACTCTGGTTTAAGTATATTCTGGAACCATGCTGCAGTCTTGATCTTTGCAGCTGTGTTCAGGAGACAACTCTGTAACCAGGTCCTCTGAAAAGTGGTTCTTGCAATATAGATGGATCCTGTCTGTCCTCATTCTTTCCTGTGGCCTAGCTGTTTCGTGTGATCGCTCGGTTTACCGACCCTGCTGATGAACCCCTTGGTCTTTTGAATAATAAAATACTTAAAAGCTAATTAATTTAAGGCTAACCCGTGCTGATTAGTGGTCACTGCAAAGAATTTGTTGGGTGCAACTTGATGGATGCAAATAATCTTTTTGAAAAATCATTTAAATTAACTGGGGGGGAGAGGTACCTTTTCTTAAAGTTAATGTTAATAATAGAAACACAGTTTATTTGCTTTCTTGGATAAACATCTTCAGCTCAGGGGCCCACATCAGTATGTTAACATTTGTCACAGATGTTTAACTTCAGTTCTTCACCTTCTAATAGGCAGCATACAGTACAACCTCATTAATTCACACTAATGTCTGGGAGCCCCTTTTTCAATGAGCAGTTAAACCTTGCAATTATTTGTAAAATAAACAGGGAGCTGCCACATCACTTTACAGCTGTCACTCTGGATTTGCGTCTCAGAAGGAGCTAGTCTTTGCAACCACTTCAACTCTTCAATAGACAGACATTTTGTTGGAGCATGGTTTATGCTTGGGTGCAGTGGCATGAGAAGCTGTAAGTAGTGTGCAAAGACTCTACTCCTATGGAGCAAAGACGTTAGGGGGCAGTGGGATGGAGTACCGGTGATCTACAACTTTATTGCATTATCCGATGAAGTTATGGTTCTGCTTCACTTCAGTGGTACTGCAGATTTCTTATCATGGTATTCAGAATTAACCAGACTTCTTTGTAAATAGTTCTTAAAGAAAACACTGTGCTGTTCTAGCAGCTCAAAGTCTATAAAGCCTGTTTAACCAGCTACCTGGGGATTCTCCCTGTGTGGTGACTCCATATCTGCCTGATGTTGGAGTTTGGCTAGGTACACTGTCACAACGGTCCCTTCAAGCTATAGGGAGTGGGATGCAACTTGGAACAGACTTGACGCTGCTTTAAGTTTTTTTGGGTGCCAAACTGACTTTGGCTGGCCCTAAGTTCAAAAAGATGAAAAGATGGCATAAGTCCACCTTTGCTGCCTCTTCCCACTTCATTTCTGCCTTAAGCACAGTTCAACAAGAGAATTTTGCTTTTTTTTTTTTTTTTTTTTAAATAACGAGTTAATTACTTTAATTTGTTTTGGGAGTGCCATTTGGAGAGGATCTACATCAAGATATAAACTAAATTTGACTTTCTGTGCTAATACATCACTTAAATATCTGTGCAAATCTTAAATACCATTTAAATTTTGTTTGGGAGGGAAAGTGAGGTGATGGAATTCCATATTTCAAGAAATATGAGCTCTGGCAGCCAACATAAAAGCCATTCTCTAAATTGTTGTCTGTGACTTTCAAGAGGTGACTTGTAGCTTTCTTTAGTTAACTACTCAGTGTTCTTTCAAGAATCAATTTTTAATAGTCTACCACTCAGCAATCCATCCGTGCAGCATGGCTACAAAACTACACCAGATTGGCAAAGAATTTCTTTAGTCACAAAAAGTTAAACATGCTGATTTCTATGAAGTTTCAGTTTTAAACTTACTAATTTTCAGAGAGGGCAGAGAGATTGTACTGAAGCTGCTTTATAAATAAACATTGCTATTGCTACTAGGATGAAGAGTGTGTGCGTCTTGACAAGGAGCGGCTGGCAGCTCGGTTGGAGGGGCATAAAGAAGGTATTGTGCAGACAGAGCAGATCAGGTAAGAAATCTTATTTCACTCCTGGGGTAGTAATTGCTAGTTTTAAGGACTGTAAAGCCGACCAGTTATTTCATCTGTTCTCAAGTGTATGTCCAGCAGCCCCACTGAGGGGTTCCCTGGATTTCTGCAGAAAAACTGTCTCTGGAAAAATGTTAGCCATCAGACTGCGGCAGAGCTTCATGTGATTGGAGGTCAGACTCCTGTTTTGGAGGGGTAACTTCACAGCAGTGACTGATCAGTCAGCACCCAGAAGTGATCAGACTGTTGGTTTGTGTCTCTGACTAGTGTTTTCCTTTTTCCTTGTTTCTGCCATAGTATTATATAGACAGGCTAATAAAATGGGAAACACCATAGAGGACAGCAGCTACCCTTTATCTCCTGCATTTAAAACAACACCCAAAGTTGTTGAGGAATGTGTGTGTCCACTTTGTCTCTAGAAGGAGTAAAACCTTGCAAGAAGCAAGCTGAAGCGCAGATGAGTCCCCTATTAGGTCTCTAAATTGGATTGATCTTCCATAATATGTGTAGATGAAGCTCTGCTAAACATACAGAGAAGGAAGACTTTCATTGCCACAAGAAGTCATCAGCATCTTGAGGATTCAAATAGCTCAGCAGTTTCCTTTTCCTTTTCCTTTATACCTCTGCAAAATTCTACAGGGATACAGATGTACATCCTTCAGGGCCTTAAACTGGATTTCCCCAAAGCTGGGCAGAGAATCTGATGGATCCATGGCAAAGCCTGACTGATGTAAAGGCCTTAGGTTTTGTGGGCATAACTGCCCATCATTTCCCTCCACCCACTTTCTCCTTGCTTAGACCTATCCTTTTATTATTACCCCAGGATCCCTCCAAGTTCTGTCCTTGACCCGTCCTAGCTCCCTAGAGCAGATTGCTAAAGCATGGAGCAAAGACTCTATTATGTTTCCGAAAATCTTGGTTTTGACATTGGGGAATATGTCAGACTCTAATTGGCTAATTGAGTAAGAAAACTCAAGAGACTTGAGGGAAGAGACAGAGCATTTGGATGTCTCCTTATTCTAGCACTTCTCAGCTATGAAAGAATAAAAATGGTGCCAAGCTGTTCTAGAGCAAACAGTTCACTTCAGAACCAGGCAGAATGTTTCTAGAAGCGGTGAGCTCTTAGTAAGAAAAGCATTCTGAAAAGTTACAAAAATACCCCTTTCCCCCTAAAATACTTTGAACCAACTATTCAAAAAAGCCTAGAGCTCTAATTGGAGCAGTCCCAGTTAGTGGAGCAAAAAGGTATGTTATTTCTCTGTCTGTCCCATCAAACTGAAGAATTCAGTAATTGAGAATGTCAGAGTTGTTCTCTAAACATGTTCTGTCAGTTTATATAGACATGCAAATGGACAGATGAGTGGTCTTATTAAGGCTCTGCACTGGGACTCAGAAGGTCTGGATTCAATTATCTCTGCCACAGACCTCTTGGGTGACCTTGTGCAAGTCAGTTAATCTCTTCTGTGCCTCAGTTCCCAAGCTGTAAAATGGGGATATCACTTCCAAATCTGAAGGGGATGTGGTGGATGACTTAGTTTGTGAGGAGCTCAGATACTGTGATGAATGCCAAAATGAACAAGACTTCAGCAAATATCTTTTCCCTATCAAGTGAAATTTCTCCAGACTGTACAGACAGTGTGATAGGGAGGCCCCAGTTGTTACTATTCCAATGTTCATCTTATCCACTAGCTTTGAAAGAACTTTCAGAGCCTGGTGAAGTGATGGTCTAGAATCCACAAATAACACCTAAATCCAGGATAAAACATACCTTTCATTGATAAAGGAGACTGCCACCTGCATAGGTGTAATTAAAGGCTACCTGCAATAAGAATTCTTAATCACTGTCTAACTTCAAAAAGTTTAGTGACCTACTCTTTGTACTGAGTCAGGTCACTGAGGGTCTTGGTGTTCCTGATGTTCGGATGGCTTCACAGACTGCCTTTAGTGTTCTGTGGAGTACCAGGCAATGCTGCAATGAGGATTGCTGAGTATTCATTATTATTTTTTGTATCTCATGTCTTTTATTTTTTTAATAGTACAAAAGAGACTCTCTTTTAAAATGCAAGTGACATAATATTTAAAGGTATTAAAGTGTGTGCATACCTGTTAAATTAGTTAAGCTACTACAAAAAACAAACTACACAAACAAAAATATCCCTCTCTACGTAGCTTACTTTCATAAATAGAATGCTTTCCAATCACATGCTCATTAGATACACTTTTTTCAGTGTGAAATGCAAAATAAAATGAAAATTGACTTAAACACAGACTTCTTTGCCTAACTCAATTTTCATTTTATTCTGAAGTTCACTTTGAGAATGATAATATCTGAATTGGAGTTAGGCTGTCAGGTAGCTGAGTTTCATTTTGTTCACATTTAAACAAACACATAACACATTAAATGTTTGTTTAAATGTGTTAACATAAACACATATGCAACTTAAAAAATATAGGATGGGGAAATACTGGGTCAAGAAGAACTCTTTGAAATGCAGCACAGGTTCATAGCGACAAAGTTTAATGCCATCTTGACTGTTTGGTCTGGGTGAAATGAATTGGTAATGTTGGTCCACTTCTTAGTGGAAAAGTGTCAGCATACCATAGCTGGTACTAAACTACGCTCTTTTTTACCATCACGAGCAGTGGCCAAGGATTGAATAGACAGGTAACTTGAACTATATTCATTTGTGGGTAACAGAGGGACAAGTGTTGTCCTTACAGTAACCTGAAGCCTTTAGCCCCAGGGCTGTACATTTCATAAGCGCTGGTAGGTCTCTCTCTCTCCGTGTATATTGTATTAGTTTTCTTGTGGTATTTTTAAATTACTTGGGAAGTCATCTATCAGGGAATGACTTTAATGGCCAAAGTAGCAGTGCCGATGTCTCTATGGAGACCACCTTATGATATATGGTACAGATGTAAACTTCTAGTAGTTTGGGAGGAAATCAAGGCTGATTGTTCATATGTACTTCAGAACACAAAACTTATAACTGATTTATGCTTTTACTCAGCCGCCTCTGATATTCTTGTTTAGATCCTTGTCTGAAGCCATGTCTGTGGAAAAAATTGCTGCTATCAAAGCAAAAATCATGGCGAAGAAAAGATCTACAATCAAGACAGATCTTGATGATGACATAACTGCTCTTAAACAAAGAAGTTTTGTTGATGCGGAGGTAGATGTAACCAGAGACATTGTCAGCAGGGAGAGAGTATGGAGGACAAGAACTACAATTTTACAAAGCACAGGCAAGGTAATGCTTTTTGTTTATCAATTTTTTTTGAACCAGCATTTAGAAGCTAAATGCATTGTCCATGTTGAGTAGTTGAGGAAAAAACCTTTCTTGGTTTTGTTTTTAAGTTGAACAGAATGATATTAACATGTATTAATTAATACAAATATAACACCTAAGTAACAACCATTTCATTCTTTTCATCTTTGTAATTTTCTTTGCCACCCCTTCAGTCTTGACAGCTACAAATAGTAACTGAAGTTACTGCTGCTCAGATGATCTTTTTACCAGTTTTTAAATAACTAGACTTCTTGGTCATGTCACTTTTGTAGGATTTAAAGATAGGATTTAAAAAAAAAAAAAAAATTCTGAATAGTTTCTGTAATGCATTGCTAAATCAATTTCTATCCTCTTGCCCAATCTTTTGTGCCCTAAACTCCATGGGCAGTGCCTAGAGGTTTTTCCTCCCTTCAAAATGGAAATAGATTTGATTGAAAAAAAAGTAAGACTAACAAAACACAGTGTGGCAGGAAAACAGTAGGCTGAACGGCCACTGGCATACTTGGAAAAAGCTCAGTTGAGAGAGATTATTTTTATCTTCATTACACTGGGCCTTGTAATTTGCTTGATAACTTAGGCCATGTCTACTCTAGCAAGCTTAAAGTGGCACAGCTATACTGATACAGAGAGAGCTCTCCTGTTGACATCATAAAATCACATCGAGTGGCAGTAGCTGTGTTGGCGGGAGACACTCTCCTGTCGACATAGTGCTGTGCATACTACCACTTATGCCAGCAAAACTTAGGTTGGTTACAGAGATGTTTTTGTTTTTTTTTTTTCCACACCCCTGAGCGGCATACGTTTTGCCAACATAAGTAGTAGTGTAGACATGGCCTTAGTAGCGTCTAAACTGGAATAGTTCAAAGGGAAGCAAAGTAGTTTGGGCTTCATGTTCACCTTATCTTAACTCATCATGGAATAAAGCTGGTGTGAGCCCTGGAGTTGGCAAGGGTCCTGCTCATTACCATGCTCAGAAGATTTCTGCCTTGTTTGAACCTCTTGTTAGGTAAAAGATTTTAAATTGACAGGGAGAGTAATAACACGAAAAAATCCTTTAGTCTTTGGACCTAGGTGGTGGGGTTTACAAGGAGGGGAAAACTCAGAGGAATAAACAACAATATATTGTCATTGTTAAGGGTGATGGAGCTGCACTTCTGGCTTTCATGCCTAAACACTGTCTTGCTGAAAGAATACTGTAGAGCCAGTCATGTTCCTGCTGCTATTTGTTACTAACCCCATCCAGGGTCAATCTTTCTTACTAAACAAAATTAAATTTTGAATATTCAAGATTTTAGCAGTTGTTACAGAAAACATGTAGAAACTGCAGGAGCCTGGGTGGCTTTTCCCCTCCCCCAGAATCCTGCATTTATCTAGAGGGGCCATCCCCATCCTTAGCATGTGACTTCGACAGGAACCATGTGGAGCCGGTTTAGGGGCAGAGGTGGGAGTTCCACTCCAGAAGCTCTGCTGTGGGAGGGAGTCAGGGAATAGTGGAGTTTGGCAGATTCTAATACAGGCCTCTCCACGAAGATAGGGGAGAGAGCAAGGATGAGGCATATGGGTTGTCACTAAGCTTGCTCTTCTCCATGGGACCACTTTGCGACCAATCTATAGAAGAGAATGAGGATGATAGAGATTCTTCATTTCCAATCTACCCATAGGAACCAGGGGAGAGCAGTGGGTTCCTGAGGGCAGTAGTAGAGACTGATCAAATCTTAGGACCTTTCTTGAGGTATATGAAGCAGTGACGTAAAGTGGAAGGGCAAAGAAACTGATCTCTTTCCAGGACTCTACTTGCACAGTTCTCAGTGCAGGTTTTGGGCCTTCCTTGTTCTATCAGTAGCTCAAGGTGTGAGAAATAATCAACTAAAGACAAGGTTACTTGGCTCAGTTGCTTTACAAGTGTTTGAATTTTTTTTCTTTACAGCCACAATTTCCTATTTTAAGGCATTTTTCTCTTTTGTGTGAAAGACCAACACAAAGTGGAAACTGTATTCAAAATACTGTCAAATGCACAAAGTAAACAGAGGTATTAGAGGAAATCACTATTTTATTTTTTTCAAGTATAGTAAATTTAGGTATTACTGAAAGAGTAGTTAAAAATGTTTTCAACAAAAGTGAAATATGTACGTTTATTTCTAATTAGATTAAGGATGTGTAGATCAACCTTCCCCTTAAGTTTGGACAGGTCTTGCTACCGTAGATCTTGCTTCTGCTTCAGTGATAGTAAATAGCATTTTCCTTTACAAAGATTTGTAAAGCATGTAGTTAATGGAGTCTGAAGCGTTGACATTCACCAAATTAGGTGGCATGAGGTCTTGCCATTGTAGTCACTTTCTTGACAACAAATCTATTTATAGAGAGAGGGTTAGATTTGTCTTGTCAGATATTTATATAATTTCAAAGAATTTGAACTGAAATATTGACTGGTTCAGATATGCCAGAAGTGATATTTACATTTTTAATGCTACAAATCTTCGGAAAAAAATTAATAAGGGATTCCCATTGTAAGTTCTTCAGCTAGAAAACATTTTTTACCAGAGTGGATATATATACTCTGTCGAAGATAATTTAAGATTGGACCTTTAAGTAGAACAGCTACAGAATAAAACATTGAGAATAACTGGTGTTGGTTTCCTGCTCCAAAGATGTATACTATACTCCTGGGGGAATTCTGTGCCAAAAAATTAAAAATTCTGCACACAATATTTTAAAATTCTGTAAAATTCTGCATATTTTATTTGTCAAAATAATACAATATAATAAAGCCGGTTTCAATTATTTTGGTAATTTATTTCAAAAAGCCTGTCAGCAAGTATGTCTGTAACAATACAGACAACAAAAAAGATTCAGCAAATGTTTTTTGACAAATAGAGTCCTTACTAGGCATATTAATACAGAACTTTGAGTAATAATTCATTTAAACTACAATCCTGAAATGTATTTTCCGCACCCCACAGAAGCAGTGCCAAGGCTTGGGGGAGTCAGGGGTAATGGAACTGAGGGAGAGGGAAGGAGCCTAGGAGTGAACCTGGAGGGTTGTTGGCTATGGGTGGGAGAAGTATGGGTTTTTTGCCGGAGGGGGGAGGGATTGTTAGGGAGTTGGGGAACCTTCCCCATGCTGACCTCTAGCTTTTCCAATTCAGTCAGGCACATCCACCCCCCAGTCTTCATGTGTCCCTCCACCCCCACTCAGCTACCCTGTCCCTATGTATCTTTGCACCCCCACTCAGCCGTCCCCATATGGTCCTACACCCCCACTCCCATTCTGCCCCTGTCCCAGTCTGTCCCCCTGCACTAGCCCTTCTGAACCCCAATCTGTGACCCCCTGCAGCTCTGTGTGCCCTGCTCTCTCTGTCCCTCCTGCATATCCCGTGTCTCCTCACTTGACCCTACGGGCAGGGCGCTGTTAGGAATGCAGGCTTTTCTTCCTTCCTTCCTTCCTCCATAGCTGCTGTTGAGCCGGCTGCCCTCTGTTCTGGTGCCACAGTAGCCACTGGTGGGTGAAAGGCATAACTGCAGCACCTCTCAGGCAGAATGTGTTTCCAGAGGAAAAAAAAAGTCTGCAGGGGACATGAGTTCTGTGCATGTGCAGTGGCGTAGAATTCCCCCAGCAGTAAACCAGACAAGAAGGGAAACTTGATTTCAGGTATCTGAACTTTTATTTTGTAAAACAAAGAGCTGAACACATGAGGAAACCCTTACCTTTTGCTGAAACAGTTATTCCTTAATTAATTCCTTCCTTTCACCCCATTTCTCCCCCCCCCTTCCAAAATAACCTGTGACAATTGAGCATTTGAATTCTGCCCACTGCAGATTTCAGTGACCAGTCTGTAAGCAAAGAGCATTTCCTTTATTCAGTCTGTACCATGAGAGCGTTAATGGCACTTATTCTCCCTTTATAACAAATTAAATTAGTTCGTGCTGGAGCTGGAAGGAAGAGCTGCAGAGTTAACAGGAATATTGGCAGGGAGTCTTTCCATCTCAGTGGTTTTTGATGTACCTAGCTTAAAAACCTTTTCTCTCAGCATGCCCAGAAATATTTCTCAGATACTAAGCAGTGTGGTAACTCAGTAGGTTGGGTTGAGTGGTGTGAGGAAAAATCTCAGAATTGAAATCTAACAAGTGCCCTATGATTATGCTTGTGTATTTATGTACTTTTTTAAGTAAACCTCCATTCTCCTGGGAGCAGGGTTTTTTGAGAACTTCCTGAGCTCTTCCATATTTTTTATCCCTTTTTCCTCTATAAACCATTTCCAAATGTACTGCAGTGAACTCCAACATTAACTACAGTGAGAGCTTTTGATTCATATTTTATTGTGGAATGTTTTTCCACAAACTAAAATATAGGATGTTTCAAAATTACTTTTTCTACATGAGATTGAGTCATACCCACAGGACTGAGGGAACATTAGCTAGCCCCATTCTTTCCCCATACCACCCAACCTCTGGGAAGACTGGAAGGACTGCACCACCATCCTTCCATGGTCTCTACATTAACCAACAAGCTGGAATGGTTGCTATATCCATTTTTATGATGCTTATGCTGGGAGTTCCTAGCTACTGGCTTTGTGGATTTCATGGCCCATCTTTTGACGTGCTCCTAAATCCCTTCTTTGTTGGCTCTTTGGGGATGGTGCTTTCACAGTTCAGGACTACTGCACCAGTATTTCATCTCCTTAGTCCAGTAGGGGCATCCATTCTCAGACTTACAGCTGGCACCTCTCTTGGGCAGAGAGGCATCTCTCTCCCTCCTGATGGGTATTTCCAGACCTCACAGTTCACTGCCTATACTGTGATATCCCAATCAAGACAGACTTCCTAAACAGGCCAGCATCTCTGCTTTGCTTTCTCTTTGAAGGCTATGAATAAGGTAACTGCCTGTGGTTTTAAGTTACCACACAGCTTATTGTAAGCAAGCATCTTTATTCTTAGGGTAAAAGCATTACAGAGAAAACAGT